AGATGAATAATACTTAATACTTACGACTAAGATTGATTATAAGTATACTTGAGTCGGTTTTACAAAAAAAACAATTACAAGTAATCGTAAGTATACTGTATTGTACATGACTTAATTACTATCAATATTATTTGTAAGTTTTTTTGTGAAACTTACTGCTGAATTGTTTATCCATGCTTATGGTACATCTAAGTTGTACGCTTTTTTTAAAACCACCTCCAAGGTTTAATGTCTGCTCGCCCATAGAATCTGTTTGTAGATATAGGAAGATGTGGTATGAGTGCCAATGAGACAACTCTCCATCCAAGTCACAATGTATAAAATAAACCATTATAGGTCAAAGTACAGTCTTCAACACAGAGCCTAGTTTTTGTCAAAAATGAAATATATTGATATTAATAGTATATAGGTTAAATAATTTATTCATACATTTTTAATTGACTGACCTAGAATTATCATGATTATTGAGGACTTTAAACCATTCCTATTTTTAAAAAGGGACAAAAATAAAATTTATATATAATAACAGGGTGATACAAATGAGAAAAACTCAAGAAATTGTTTTCAATTAAGATAAATACATGCAGTTAATAATGGTTTTCAGTTGTTTTTTAAAGCAGAGGCAGATTTAGTTTAAAGTTGGAAAAAAATTAATACACGAAGTTAATCCAGAATTATGTGTTTATCATTTTTTTTATGTTTAGGTTGCCAGCAAGATGAAAAGAACAATGCAGTTCAAAAGTCAAAATGTGGATAAGCTGTGGTACAAGGTTCTACTTTTGCAGATTTTCATATTTTGCATGAATGAATTTGAAGTTTATATCATGGAGGGCAGAGAAAGAAAAGAAACACTTCAATTTTCCTGCTTCTGAAAGATAAATGTAAAACATCTTGTTTGGTAAGTTTTATGCTGTTTTGATAGTGTTTGTGCGTCCATCTGTCTTTCTCTAAATTGTATTCACAGGCCTCGACAATAACGCTTGTCCTATTGTCCGGTACCAGAGGAAAAAAAGGTCGGACAAGTAAAAGCTATATCAAGCTTGTCCGACGGGACAAGTAAAATTATTCTGCAGAAAATAAATTTAATCCAACTTGGATGAACAAAGTAATTATAAACAAAAAACAAGAAAAGAAGATAAAAACAAATATTAATTTGACATGTTTACTTGCAATCGATACTTTAAAACTGGTTCTTTGTCAGGTACTTTTTTAGAGGTAAAAGGCATACTTTTCTCGGAAACCAGTCTTACTGAGGGTGTCATTCGGTCCAGTCATTAGTAAAACCCTCTTACTGATCCGAATCAGCGATGCGCTTTGTAGCTCGGAAAAAGATTCAGCTCCAAATTTAATAGACAGTTTGGCACCGTAGGAAACATATTTAATAGACATGATTAATAAACAGTTTGGCAACGCAGGAGACATTTCGGGACCAAGACAAATCAGTACCTCGTTTTCCGAACTTATTCTGTTGCTTTATAATAAATACCATACCGGTAATTTTTTTAACAAAAAATATTTTTTTAAATAAAAATGAAGAAATTATTTACCATAAAATTCACAAAATCATATTTGATCATTTGTAGAAAAAAAACAATACTTGCAATACGGTGACCTATAGTTTTTAATTTCTGTGTCATTTGGTCTCTTGCAGAGAGTTGTCTCATTGGCAATCATACCTCATCTTCTTTTTTTTATTAATTGCATTTGAAAAAAACTTTTTTCAACCTTAAAACCAAGATACAAATCCAATGAGTGTACATTGACAGGCTTATCAGACGGTGCCTCATGTGCAGAGTCTGATGAGACTTTGGCACTGAAGGAAGCTAGAACCTAAGTCCTGTGACATGACTAGATTCAGTTGTTCTCGACTCATATTTTTGTAAAGTATTTCAAAAGATATATATCAAATTCTGTTCTTTTGTTTTAATTCATTTTGTTCCTTGAATCAACTTGAAATGCAAAAATGGTTATTATTAAGATTTTTTTTGGACAAGTTACAATTTCATTCGGACAAGTAAGTTTTTGTATGTACTTGTCCTACTGGACAAGTTGAAAAAAAATTTATTGTAGAGGCCTGAGAACCGGAGCATTTTTTTTAATGAAACAAAACGTTATAAAGAACTAATAGAGAATTTAATTGTGGTCTGTGGCCAATAATTTTGTAGTAAACATGGTAAACAATAGTCAAGATTAGCTTTGAAGATAATAATAATTACTTTAGATGTATGTTTCATTATGATACTGTTATTTTTATTGGCTAACAGCAATTTCGTGTCCTTCTGAAATTAAAATTCATTGCACAATGAAGCTGACATGAGGTCCCACAATAAAGGGCACAGGTAAATTAAAAAAAAACTTGATAGAAATCGTGTTTTCATGATCCTAGCTAAAAAAAATGTAATTATATTATTGAATGCTTCTTTTTGTAACTTCATAGGCAAAAAAAAGATCATGATAGGGGTGTAAAAGCTTTGACCGTGCGCATAGTTTTAGAATGAAGCACTTCTGCGCTTCATACAAAATGTACTTCGGTCAACGCTTTTACACCCCAATGAAGTTACAAAAAGAAGCATTCAATTCTTAAATAAAGATGGTTTAACTATCAAAGGTCAGGGATGTCTATTGGGCAAACTAGCAAAGTAAGCAACCCAAAATTTGGTCAACAAGACTTGTGAAATAAGCTCTGAGAGCTTGGTAAATGATCTCTCAGCCTTCACAACAATCCTAGAGCACTTGGTATCCTGAAGTGACTTACTGTGAGCCCTTTCACTTCTTACATGTACATGTATGTATATATATTTTTATTGAAGACATACATGTATATGTGCTGCTTCTGAAATATACCATGTGATCTTATTTAAAGAGGTATAAAATTACCTATTCATAGATACTGTATAAATTCAATGAGTTTAATTGTTGATTATCATTTTTACAGGAAGGAGAGGACAGAATGGAAAGAAAACGGCCCTACAGAGTTACAGATTCAACAAGGACTCAAAAAAGGGGATAGTTGCATCATCTTATGGGGATGTAATCCAACAATGTAAGTAGTAGTTTTAATGAATTTTTCACAGCATGCCCAATTCACCCTCAAAACCAGCCATATATCCCAAAATTTTTATAGAATTTCTTTACAGACCTACAGTATACATTTGTATTTACTGAGAATTGATTAAATCTAAGATTTAATTGACCCAACAGTCTAAAAGTTGTACCCTCAAATTGAAAACGCACATAACATTGTCATTGAAATATTATAACTTCATAATTCACAATGAAGTTAGATATTATAACCAGTCTATATATATCGATAAGTAAATAATATTTTTCTTATCCATAAACAGTTTTCAATTTCCTATAAGTTCTGAGCTTATTTCCGTTTGGATTGTTTTGGTCATTAAAAAGGTTATGTTTCCAAAGATCAAGATATTTATTAAGTGAAATACATGTAGCTGTGACAAAAGGCCATTTGCCAATATGTTGTTAGTAGATATTTTTGGCTTAAGAGCAGATTTTTGGAAGGGGCAAACTGGTTCATTCTTTTTCCATTTTACTTCAGGAGTCAAGCAAGACTGAAAAGTTTTATCTATAAATTACTTGAAAATTACATATTTTTTTCATCCCATTTATCATGACTTTATAAATAGCTATCAAAATGATTTTGGGTTCATTGGTGTAAAGGGGGGAAATCTCACATGTGACACTTAAATCATGAATATTACTGTGGATTCATTATTATTCGTTGGATACCAATTTTCGTGGATTTCGTGGGCACAGGTGAACCACGAAATTAAATGTTCAACGAATAACAAATTTTATATAGGCTTATATGCACACTTCGACAAACCACGAAATTAAATATCCACGAACATCCAAGTTTTTCATAATCCACGAAAATTGGTACCCACGAAAATAAATGAATCCACAGTATAACTTTATCACAAATCATGCATATAAATCATGTAAATGAATTAAAATATTAATGAAAAAGTATCAATATTCTATTGTAACATTCTACAAGTTCATAAAGAAAACAAGCATCACAATCAAATCATGCACTGGACTTATTTTGATTTCTGAAGTGTTTGTACATGTGCTATTAAACCAAGAAATACTTTCCTTTCAAAAGTTTGACCAAAAACCAAAAGATCTGGCTTTTAACCACTAATTGGCAAATCAACTATCTGTTGAAGGATATCAGATTTACAGAACTTGAAAAATAGATTTTTTCACTATTTCCAACTTTGACAGCTCAAATCTCTAAAAGCATTACAGCTAAAGAGACAATATCTGTCAGACCTTTGCTTTCATAACAAAGCTATTTAATATGGACATCAGTAAGAACAGGCTTTGCGTCTGTCGTCTTCCATGGTCATCGTAAATTTTTTCAAAGGTTTTCTATGAAACTACTGGATGGATTGGGACCAACCTTGGCAGGATTGTTCCTTAAGACAGAACTGATTATGGAATATTTTATCCATAGAAGAACATGGCTGTCGTTACTAAATGTAAAACAGTTTTCAAAAATATCTAAAAAAAAACAAAACATTGGGTTAATCTAAAATCTGATAGGGTAAAAATGTTCAGCATGATGAGATCTACCTGTGTAGACATTATAATGTTTAGGGTAAAAAACCTTCATGACCAGCTTCTCCTTTCAATAACATAGAGAACACGCAAGTTTAGCAGTGATCGGAAAATATTATTTTTACATGGGTTATTTTCAGCACATTTTACAAATATCTACATGATCTAAGATTTGAATGGGACATTTTTTTATAATTCTAAACGATATATTTTAATTTAAAGCTTCAATGGGCCTATGGCCCATGGCCCCTGCCTTTCCCAATCACTGGTTCAGCCAGGAATGAATCATATATAATTTTGGACCTTATGTGGGAGCCTTTTCCATGAACATGTGTTGATCAATATCATCAATACTAAGTGTAACATATCTGTAATTGTTTATTTTATTTTATTAAATGCAGCCAAAGGTTTCAAATGGCTATTTCTAAACTTGTACTGGAAGATGATGGGACTGAAGTAGACAGCATGTATTTCGAAACCCTACCTGACAATTGTCTGGTAATGATATTAAGTGATGGACAGGTTTGGTCACATTTACCTTCTTCATCATGTTCATCCTCACAACCTTCTTCATCCTCCTCATCTGGACAGACTGGAGATCATAGTAATGGTAAATGTAGAAATTATGTTATATTTGTTTGCTCATCTGGTCTGTATACAGAAGAGCACGAGGCAAACATCAATTAACATTAATTTTGTGTATCATTGTAATTAACATATTTTGGAGACATTTTTTTTCTATGAAACTTTTATGTCAACTCTTTATATGTAAAGTTGGTGTACTATTATTGTCTATTAACTTAACTACCTACCAATGCATACAGTAAAACTTGTAATCATATTTATTTCTGTTTTAAATTGCAGTAAATCACAGGGTTATGGCCATGGTGGAACAGATTAGAAAGGCTGAATCTGCAAGTAGTTCGGTAATTATTTCCCTTACTTAGGCAGGGGAATATTGAAATACCCTTGTCTTTTTGTCCACCCGAAAAAGCTTTCACAAAAATCTTTGCCTCCTTTATTGGATTACTTACAAATTTGGTATTTGTGATCATGGTGATGTCAACTTTTTCTTGCCATTGTCGGTAAAGATCTAATTTTTATACGCCCGTCTAAGACGGGACATATTATGGTATACTGTCTGTTGGTCCATCCGTTCGTCATTCATACTTCGGACAATAACTAAAAAACACTTCCACCAACTTTTATAACACTTTGTTGAATTGTTTATATATTGAAGTAAGCTCCCGTTTGATTTTTATGAATTTCAGATTTTTCGTTTCCATGTAATGAAGTTTTATCCTTAAAAAAGGGGGGGATTTTTTAGTTTTCTTACAATAATTCAAAAATGCTTCCATCAACTTTAATGTAACTTTGGTGAATTGTTTATATCTATTGACGTATGATCCCTTTCAATTTTTATAAATTTCAGATTTTACATTTTTCAGTTATGAATTTTTATACTTAAAAAAGCCTAATTAATGTACAAAAATAAATCATTTAAAGCATACAGACAAGCTAAAATGGCAATAGGCATATCATGCGCTTATACCGCAGCTATTTATTAAATTTTTTGCGATAAATTTGATTTTATCACAAAAAGTTTAAAGATTAACAATATATTTGTTTTAAAAAAACAGCAATATTAAATGCACACAATAATTTCAGCGTTTACTGTATTTCAATCAAATTTAAAATCACTTTTTTTTTTAATTACATGAACTACCTTAAAGTTTCTAATTCAGTATTGCCAAATTAGTAATGATAGAAAAGATATTCCTGTCTAGTTTTACTAACAATCTTTATATGGTTATGCATCTGATTTAGAAGATTACAATCTTTGAATGAAAAGTAAACTTTTTACCTTTGAATTTTCCTGGAATATATAGGAATATGACTTCAAGATAAAAAAGATAAAATGTTTTTAAAAAATTTGAACCTTTTTTATCAATATACTGTACTAATTTCTATGAAAATTATCATAATCTCTAATAATTATAATATATTATTCATTGAGCAAAATGTATTTGAAGATGAAATATTTTTTTGAGAATTTCTAAAATTGGTTGAAATAATAGGGACAATTTAGCTTGTTGCACTACTTCTGATATATCACTGTAGAAAAGACAGTTTTTCATTGAATATTTGCTCACAGAAAATTAAGTTTATTGCAGTTTTACTTGTGTCTCTAAGATTAAAATTATTCTACTTTAGTTGACTTATGTGGGTCTGTATATTTTGTGATGAAAATTAGAACTGTCAGATTACTAATCATACATTTAAATTCATTTCAGAGGGCTGCAAATACAAATGTAACAACAACCTGTGGATGGCAGCACTTTTCCTATCAGTTCATGAAATATATCATGGTAAAAAATACCAAAAACCAAGCCAACCTTGGACCTAGAAGTATATCAATAAGTCGGTCAGCCAGTGAAAATGAAATATTACAGATTTTAACCAGCATATTCTTTCCAAGGGGAAAAAGTGTGAAGGGGAGAATAGAATCGATGGATGTAAAACTTGGTAGCTATATGGGGATGGTAATAACAGATATTGGTGCAACCTTAAGATCTAAAAAACCCCATTTTTATCTTCTGACAAAAGAAAAGGTATGATTTTAGGTTTAAAAGTAAATTATAAGGCCTCTAACAACTGCCCTGATCACGTAATTAGAAGATTTGTTGAAGATACCATTTCAAAGTTGTACCTCCATGTACAGGCAAACTTTAGGGGTGGTCAGGATATCAGTAGAAAAATATTGTTTTCAGTACACAATGGAGTACATTAAAAGGTAAAAAAACAAACTTAAGGAGGCTCGCGGGTATAAGATTTTGAGAAAAAAATTAAACATTTATTTTTCATTTCAAATTTTATTAATTACCTTTAGTAGTTGTTTCTTTATCATATGGTACAAAAATCATTCCAAAAAATCAATTCGTGTTGGCCCCAGGTGACTTTTAAAATGTAGATATCATTGAAAAATTATCTCCCTTTGGTGCAAAAATGCCATTTTTTTGCATTAAAATTGAAATATCTTTTTTAACTCATCGGTGATCTTTATTTTTTATTTTTTATTGTTGTTTTCGAATAAGCTGTACATAAACTAAAAAATTGTAAAATTTAAGCTATTTCTGTAATTTAGTTCTTTTTTTATTTCGATAATATCGTTTTTTCTCCTATTAGTTCAACAGAAAAAAAGGACAAAAATGTATGCTTCTTTCGAAGGCAGATTGTGAGTGTAAATGAACGGTGACCCCATTTTTTTATTTCATTTTTCTATTAAGTATAAGATAAAGTTCATTTATAGAAAAATATAGCGAAATCCTATATTAAATAAAAGAATTAATTTAGAACCGCGAGCCCCTTAATCAAGATATTGGAGGAAGGGTTAAAAGGGGTGGTGGCGGAGGTGGAGAGTATACTTTGCATGTGTGAAAGATGCATAGTCAGTCCACCATAGGCTGCATGTGTCCAATGCAATCGACTATACTTTTTGGTCCCCCATTATACAAGGTTCTACATGTTGTGTTTCCATGCAAGTCCTGACATTGATGGTTTTTGTTTGCTCTAAGCATCATACATCACTGATGCCTAATGTTTTAATGCATATAGCCCTTGCAGTCACCGTTGATTTACTTTGATCATATATATATGACATCTGAGATATGATCTCTGTGTTTTTATTCACAGATTCCTGAAATACTCAGTTCTGCATCATCAGATTCAGATGACTTACCCGACCCAGAAATGTCACTTCCTGTCCTCACTTTTAGGCAGAGCCCTACTATGCAAACTGATTGGACACAGCCTTCATCACAAGGTCTTACTTTGCACACTGATCGAACACAGCCGTCATCACAAGGTCTTAGTATGCACATTGATCGGACACAGCCTTCATCACAAGCATATGTTACTCCACAAAGGAGTGGGACTGGCATGTATAGTATCCAGCAAACACCTGAGACTCAATTTGTAACTTTACAACCGGAAGTACCCAATGTTACCCCACAAAGACCTAGTAGTAGCAGTGCAAGTGCATCTTTGGCAACAACATGAACAATGTGGAATGAAACAGGAACGCCAGAGGTAAATTTATTATTGCTTTCTGTGAGTGTGATAGAGGCTATATCAGTGCTTTTGAATCTTTTAAATGAAATCTTAACATATGTCTATGCAAAATAAACACTTGTCCATTTTATAAATTTGAAGTAAATTGAACATGCCCATATTTTTAGATGAGTTGCAATGAAGTTGAACTCTGCTATTGGTTTGATGATGGAGGACGGGCAGGCATCGATATTCGTTTCCAGATGATAAGTTTACATCTGATTAAAATGAAACTTTGGGATAGTGTTACATATCAAGCAATTGAGAACCCTATGGATTTTTGGGAAAATCTGTTAAAGGTCAAGGTTACAGTCACAAAATTTCTGAATTCTTTTTTTGTAAAAATAAGGTTTCCGTGACGATTACTCCAAAGTTTACATCTGATTAAAATGAAACTTGATCGATATTGTTACATATCAACCAAGTGAGGTCTCTATTGTTTTTTGGGAAAATACGTTCAAGATCAAGGTCACAGTAAAAAAAAAATACTCAGAAAATTTTGTAATAATAAGATTACCGGACGATAACTCTAAAAGTTTACATCCAATTTGAATGAAACTTTGGAATATTGTAACATGTGGAGTAATGAGTAACAGAAATCTAAAATGACAACTGTTATCCACCTTTTTAACAATGCATGATATGAAAGCCAAAAGCACAGTTAATTGTTTTGGTTTTTTTAATTATGGATATGTTTTTCGCTCACCTGACTTAAGATTATGTTAACTTTACTTGCCATTACTTGATGTCTCCATTGTTTGGTGAAAAAAAGGGGGGAGGTAGATGGATATGTGTAGCAGTCTTGTTTGGAAATGAGGTATATACATATAATTTTATTCCTAGTGTATTGATATCTGCTCATGAATACTTAAATTCTACATTTGTGCACTTTATTCTGTAGGAGCCCTACATGATTATTTGTTGGCTTGTCCTGCATAAATCAGTGTTTGTCTCGGCTCATCCTACACAAAACAGTACTTTTAAAATAGTTTTAATCTATCAAAAAAAAAATGGCTGTATAGTTACAAAAGAGCATTCGAATCATATTACAATTTTTATGTTGCCTGCAATGTGTTGCAGGAGCCACATTTAAGGTCACTTTGGGACCATGTGTCTTCCTGCGTCGTCTTCACCAAAAAATTTCGTCTAAGTTTTCTCAGCTACCACTTGACGCAGTAAGATGCTTGAAACTTTGCAGAAGTCTTAATGCAATAGTACTGTAAGGTGTAAAGGCCATAACTCATCTACTTCCAGTTTAACGAAAACTAAGGGATGCAGGTGACATACGCATTTCAGGGAAGGCTCCATCTAGTTTAAAAATAACTCAAAAACAATTACATTCAGCAAAAAATGTGATAAGGGGAGCATTGTTCAGCGTGACAAGACTGACCTATGCCATAATTTTCAAAATGTTCAAATTACCTATGTTGGAGTTAAGATGCTTTAACTATGAATACAACATTGAGATTAGACAACATGGGTAATAAATTCAGTTTAATATTATTTATTTAGGACAAAATTGGATAAGAGCTGTTTTTGCACCCATCCACCACTTCCACTACAGACTTTAACTGAAATTGGTCTAAAATACATGATGATGTTCCGTTTTAGTACAAAAACATGTCAATATTAGGTTTTGTGAGAATTCTTTTAAAGACAGATCTAGATTATGTGCCCAAATACGACTAAAAATCGGAACATTGTAAAAAATTGACCAATTTTTGATGTATGTTTAAAAATATTTCTATTACTTTTACTATTTTTTATATTACAGGTGTGTATACAATCCAGAAAATGTACCATTTGTTATGACAAAGATGTAACAGCGTTTCTGGTACCATGAGCGCATAAATTCTGCATGGCTTGTTGTAGAAGAGTACAACGTTGCCCCTTGTGTCGGATTGAAATCACAAATGTGGGTTCCCTGCAGACCAATAATGAGAACTGAAAGTGAAACTCATAATTCATAACATGCATAAGTTTGTTGACAAAATAGTCATAGTTAAAACTTTTTTTCAGTTCAGCATATTTTTATACCCCCTAGAAAAGGTGGATGATTATTGTGAATTTACAAAATGAAACAATATATTTGAACGTATATCCAGTTGATATGTCATAATTATACCTCTTGTCCACAAAGGGGAATTGGCACACTGTTTTAACTCTGTTCATCCGTCCAAAAGTAAACATTTTTACCAGATCCTCTAATCCCTTGAAATTTGAAAGAATAGCAAAACAGATTAGTACAATGAAGATGAAAATGGTTCAGTGGGCAAATATTTATAGTTTCAATAAAAATAGTGTTAGTGAATCTAGAAGTCTTAACTTTCTGTATCGTATTATCATTAGAAAAATTCCATCTCTGGAGTGAAATTGGTTTTTTTTTGGTTACTAAACAGGTGTGGTTATGCCATAATGTTCTTTGTTATGCCATATTTTGGTTTTAACTTCCCGATTAAGTTAATGTCAAACTCCTTATTGATGTCTTAGTGTGTTTCAGTATGTAGAGGTATTTTAAGTGAGGCTGTACTCACAGTTTTTTTTACCTGTTAATCCTCTGGTATTTGTGATAAGCATTGTATGAATGTACAGACAGTCAATGACAGTACTGTGATATGTTTGTTTATTTAAGTTTGTTTGTTTTATAAATACTAATCACCTTTTTATTTTTTTAAAGAAATCATCTTTTATAATTGTTAGATTTAGGCATTGCAAAACAGATTTAGGCATTGCAAAATAGATTCAGGCATTGAAAAACAGATTTAGGCATTGCAAAATAGATTCAGGCATTGCAAAACAAATTTAGGCATTGCAAAATAGATTCAGGCATTGCAAAACAGATTTAGGCATTTTAAAACAGATTCAGGCATTGCAAAACAGATGCAGGCATTGTAAAACAGATTCAAGCAATGCAAAACAGATTTATCTTTTGTACAGGCTTTATATTAGAGCCTATTGTTCAAATCCTTTCCTCCATTATTTTGTGATACATGTCCAGATGTGTTTGCAGGCTATTCTGTGTTTCATCATGTATGTATGTGTGCTGTACTTTGTCTTTTTTTTTTAATTTGTATTTGCATGAAAATCTGCATTAAAGTTATAATGCAAACTTTGAAGTTACTTTTTTTATTTCCGAACCAAATGCAGACATTTTGTGTTGCCTTTTGTAAACCCTTGACATTCTCTGGATTCAACACATCTGTCAATTTGTCTACCAATAATTTATTCACACTGCCATCACAGCTCATCCATTGTCTGTCATCATTCTTTAATTTTTTTTCAAAAATCTTCTCTGAAACCAATGAACCAATTTACTTGAAACTTTATAGGGATGTTTTTATACATGTTCTTTACAAACATTCCTCCTTTAAAGACCTTTTCAATTGATTTGATCGAAAACATGGCTGCTGTTATTAAAAATAAAACATAGGGGTCAGGATTTTGCATATAACACAAAAACAAAGCAAAAGCAGATATCAGAATTCTGAAAATGAAAGAGTGTTCACTACATCAAGACAATAACAATCAAAACCAAGGAGTAAACAAAGACTCACAAAAACCAAAGGACATTTACATCAACAGTTATAAATAATAATTAAGAAACAACACGAACTCCACTAAAAACTGGGAGTGAAATCAGGTGCTCCGGAAGGGTAAGCATTTCCTGTATCGTATACGGCACCCGTTGTGTTATTTCTTTGTTCAGTTCGGTAATGATGGAAGGTTATTATGACTGAGGAAGAATATCAGATATGATTTCTGACACACTTTTGTCATAATGGCCAATCAGCTCATGATGGCGACCGTAAAATTTCTTGAGTGATGACCTTAATTTGATTGATTCATAGCCCTGTCTTAGCAACTTTTGAGAAAGCAGTATTCCTCGTTCAACAAAATCAGCGTATTTTGAGCTAGCTCTAGAGTAACACATCAATTGAGACACATATACTCCATATGCTGGTGCCGCTGGGATGTTGCTACACAGAAATTAAAAGTTGACTATAGGAAAATTAAAATCATCGCGTTTATCATAAATTTTGGTATTCAACCTACCATCAGTAGTCATTTCGAGAAAAAGGTCTAAATATGAAGCAGATTTATCTGTGTCGGTAGTATCTTTAATTTCAAGTTCACTTGGATATATTAAATGTAAGTGATCACTGAATCTATTATTATTAAGAGACAGTTACTGTACATCATCAATATACCGAAAGGTGAAATTAAAAGACTGGGCTAATTTCTTTTCTCCTTTCTGTACAAGCCCTTGGATAAATATCAAGATCTATCTGCTGTGCAATTTTCGTGATGATCTACTTTTGGTAAATTTTTTGTGCAAATCCAGGAATTAATAAAAGAGTTATTGCCTATTAGGATATTTATTTAAAACTTGAAGACATTAAGTTTTTTGGTCATGACTTCAAAATGTCAGGAGACTATAGAGTAAATATGCTCATTGAAATTTTTCAGTATCAAAGGGGCTTCAATTTGAATTAAAGATCAAAGGTTGCCCGTTACCTTTGTCCTTAGCAACAAGGCTTATGTGGCACTTAAGTTCTTAGCAACCATGGTTATTTCCACTGGTGACAATATAAGCTTTGGTTTGGTACTATTTTCCAGGGTAATGTGTCAAGGTCATACCAAGTTACTATAGCAACTTACTGGGTGTAGCTAAAAAAATCCGTAGCAACTATGGTTATTTCATTAGAGGACGATCAAGGCATATTTATGACAAAAATGTCTGAGACCATTGATCAAGATCATGGCCCTTCACTATTGCACAGTGTTTTCCCTAACTTTTTTGACATCACGAAAAATATTTGTGAAATTAGCCAGCAATCTCTGTATAGTATGAATGGTCTGGACAGCTTTATAACCGTTAAAAAGGCAGCATTATTGCAAAATAGGTGGTTGATTTTACTGGATACTGGCTTTCATCAAAGCTATAAACAACTAATAAATAAATCATGCAACCAAGACTAAATTAGCAATCCGTACACATCCATCATCCAATGGATTTAGTGTAAAGACGTCATTAACAGTCAGAGAAAAGCATGACCTTGTGCAATGCCAAGATACAGGTATCGACAGATTGTAGATCCATGAATGTGTATATGTATATAACAATAATACATGTAATATTTAGTTTGCTTTTAATTTCCTGATAATAAAATCAATATTAATACCAATAAAAACAATATTCAATGATCTAATTACAGTTTTGAATTGGTAACCTTTTAGAATAAGTTTATTTAAAGGATCGATAAGTTTATCAGGATCGTTTCTAAATTTCCGGGCAGGTAAACAACATTTCCGTAAAAATGAAGATGTGCTATCCCGTTTCAAATAAGTTTTTTACAGGTACAACCAAACTTCAAAACCAAATCTTGATATCTATTAAAGAATTCAGTAAATGTTTTAAGTATTTGTGGTAACGAAATCCCTGACTTAGTAATTTACCAGTAAAAACGTCACAACAGACACGGGCATAGCGAACGAGTTGTGAAATATAAACACCGTAAGATGGTGCCAAAGGAACATCACTTTCCAAAATAGGAAAATTAACAATAGGGAACGAAAAAAGTCAAGAATACACAATTCACAATAAAAGTAAGCAAATTAAATGCGATTATTGAAGTTCATAAACCATATATTACAATTGAAAGCTATCACACCAGTAACCTTATCATAACAATGAGCTCTTCATAAATGAAGTACATAGATACAGTAACACATGTGAATTTGAGTAGCAGTACAGTAGTAAGGTAACGAAAAGTCGCCCCTTTTGTCGTAAATTTTAGTTTGGAGTTCCCCGTTTAAAACCGAAATATCTTTATCTAGGAAAGGACAGTTATCACCGTTTAAATTTCATTTATTTATAGTAAGTTCCTTTGGGTAAATTTTGGCAGTATATTGAGAAAATTCTTGATTATTTAACGAAAAAATATCACCAAGATAACGATAAGTATAGTTGAATTTATCAATTAATTGCAATTTAGACGGGTCTTTACTGGGTTTGGTCAAAAAATGTGATTCATAACAGTACAAGAACAAGTCTGATTTTAAAGGGGCGCAATTAGTGCCCATAGGAATACCTACAACCTGTCGATAAACTTTGTTGCCAAAACGTACATAAATATTATCAAGGAGAAAATTAACAGCTTCAATCATCTCATCACACCTCAAGTAAGTATATGTATCATATTCACCTTTCTCATTAGAGAAGAAGGCTTAAAATGAGTTGCAGCAAATATATTTGCTTTCAGATTTACCAAACGACCATTTGATTAAATAGGTCCTGGAAAACTTTTATCTCATAAGATTGTGTGGAAGTGTAGTGTAAAGTTTAGAAAAGTCAAAACTGTCAACAGAATCAAAAGGACCATCAAAAGCACGTTATTCATCTAAAACATCCAAAGAATTTTTTACACTCAAAATAATTAATTCCACTATTTTCATATATTTTATTACAATAGTTTATGATAAGCTCTTTGGTAGCAGTTAAGGAACTTGTTAAATACACTGAAAGATTAGTTGTAGGACACTTACTAGAGGCCGAGATGAATCGATATTTACTTTTTTTAGGTGTAGTTTAGGTAACCAATACAAAGTCAACCATGAAATATATAGGTCACAGTGACTTAATTCCACTTGGATGCTAACAGACTGCCATAGATGCATCTATATGGAATTTTACATAGCAACTAGTACATCTAGTAACTACGTTAAAGCTCATTCGGACGTAAACTTGAACCATGGAAGTAATATTTAAATATTACTTCCATGCTTGAACAAAGTCAGTCAACCATGAAATAGAGGTCAAAGTGACTAAATTTCACCTGGATGCTGACAGACTGCCATAAATGCATCTATATGCAAGTTTTCATGACATTAATACATGTAGTTGCTAAGTTATAGCAAGGTTGGACGTAAACCTGAACCAGATGGACGCGGGGGTGACCCCAATAGTTCTTCCTCAACTTCGTTGAGGCGATTTAAAAATCATGTATTCTTGTATTTGATGGACATAGGGAAGTAGATTAGCATCCAGGCAAATGACGATTCACTGTATGCACCCATGACTTACATCTTCCACTTCACTGAACTAATTTTATTTTTAATCTCATGCTAATTATCTCAGCAAACATGTTTTGAAACGGATTTTTTATTCTTAAATACCTTTTGTTTTAATCCTAATCATGGTACAAATCAAATATTGTGTGTTTTTTTCCTATAAAAAGAACATATTAATTCTATGCAAGTTGAATAGTCAAAGCAGTTCATTAAAAAATATATGGCATTTGAAAGAAGTTGATTATAAAAAAAAATCGCGTTGCCATAAAAAAAATTGCGCAATTTTTTTAAATTAAAGTTTGCTCGCATGAAATGTATGGTTATGCAGTTATAGAGAATAGAAATAATATTACAACATTTATTAGGTGTCTCTGATATGATGCGGGCAACGTGAAACATTGAGATGCTCTACAATAAGAATATACATCGAAACAATGGTCTTTCCTTTGATTTTGTCTATAATAAACCTGCCAGGGCTTCGACAATGCGTTGAAGAGGCAAAATGAATTATAAACAACCTATTGATCGAGTTTATCGTGTAAAAATGTCATAAACTGATCAAGATATAACTTCAATAGTGATAAACTGATAACCGTAACTGGAATTACGACGATTCCAATATAGCGACGGCTGAAATAGGTAAAATCTTTTCAGTAATTTTTCTCAAATGTAGCCCGTTATTGTCACGAGTTACTGATGTAAGACCACTAATTCGGGCCTGGCCAAAAAGCACATACCAGAGAGTAGTACATATTTAACACAAGATACTTCCTACGCTTGAGTGTTACTTTCAAAATATGTGGAATATTTAGGTACTTTTGGTATCAAATGAAAGCTGAAGGACTGGTGATCATTGAAGAACACTTTTGGACTTTTAATTTTGAATATAAAAAAACTGCACCAAATTTTAAAAAGGGGGATACTTTTTGTCTGTATGTCAGATCTGAAGTACCTGTTTTGGTACATCCGA